GTAAAAATCTCACTACCCTTTCTGATAAAGAGTAACTGAAAAAAAGCGGCCGCCATTCAGGGCAATCAGGGTGTTTTACCCTGATAAAGAGAGCCCTGCATGGAACTGAAGGAGCTCCGCTCCAGCAACCTGCCTGCCGACCAGGGTTCTCGCTAGGTTTAGGGCCTGTCTGACAAAACCCTCAAAAAAATTTTCCCCGTCTTAGGCTTTGACGACGAAATTTGTGTGGTCTGCAGTATAAGATGAAATATTTTTCCTAGTCTGATAAACTAGACGAAAAAAAAAACCAAGTCAGCCTACAAGAACACTACCTGCAATTATACTCATTCTATCAAACAACCTAGGCAGTAGCTAAGGACCTAGTCAGACTCACTAGAGCCGTAGTCCTCATTGCTATCACTACTACCATCCTCACTCCCCACGGGAACTGTGGCCCGTTCTTTCCTGGTAAGCCACGGGTACTCAACATCCATCCTTGCTGCTTCTGCTACCAGGGCCGCTTCTCGAGCAGCTGCTTCTGCTGCTGCGAGTGCAGCTGTTGCTGCTGCAGCTGCGGCCGATCTCTTCCTCGCACGCTTGCTCTGTCTCTCCCCGGACGCCATCAGCACATCGTTAGCAGGCCTTCGCTTCTTGGAAGCATTCCACCTCCTCAGCAACTCGGGCCACTCCATGTCGTAGTTAAGGAGCGACACAGCCATCAGCTCTCCCAGCTTCGCGTCGCACAGGTTCCCGCGAAGCCAACTCTTGATGATGTTTTGTCGTGAGAAGCCGCGCTCGCACTCGACGGTACTGAGCGGAAGCACGGCGACAGCCATCCACAGGTGGACGAGGTTCGGGTAGCACGTCGCCCAGTCGGGGGAGGACAGCATGAGTTTCAGGCTCTCCGCACACCCGACATCCTCTTGGTGTGTGGCCAGGATGGTAGAGAAGGTGACAAGCTCTCGCTGCGCTCTCGCCCAGTTGATGCCTGCGGTTGGGGTGCACATGGGAACATGGGAACATGTAGTGTTTAGACAAGCATGTGGAGACAACGCTAAACATACAGCTCATTCCCGGCATTTAACGCACCTGGTATAGTGTCAGGGTCATCTGGCTTCCGCTTGAACATGTTGCGCAGAGACTGGAGCCATTGGCCTAGCCGTCGCTCACGCTTTGCCTGGTTCTTGGGATAGAATCTCTGCTTGAACAGCTTCGCCCCGTCGAGGTTTGACAGGTCCTTGAGGCGGTAGTCGAGCCGGCCGACCAGGGTCGTGATGAACTCGCGCGCCAGCACCAAACACGCTTGGTGGTCCACACCGCTCGTCTGCCCCTTGATTTTCTCCTCGTGCAGTCGGTATCGATGGCTGACCGATGTGCCGTCGGAAGCAGTGCCAGCAACGAGGACCTCGCGGAACTCCCCAGATGCGTGCTTGTCGAGGAACGGGCCCAACGCGTCTCCCCCCTGACCAAACATCGCGTCGTCGCAGTCGAGGTAGCGTGTGCGCAGCAGTAAGGTCGTGTTGTGGACCATCGGCAGCACATGGGTTGCCTCAACCTGTAAACGGGGGTGCACAAGCAGGATGGTTAGTAGGAGATTGTAAATGAAAAAACCGGCCACGTGTAACTCGGGAAACTGCTTACCTGACGCCGCTGAAACTTCAGGCTTAGCAGGTTGAGCTCCTTCAAGACGTCAGAAAGGAAGAACAACAGGAAATGGAACTTATAGCTCGTGACGACGTGATACATCTTCTTGTTTGTTTCGTGCAACACCATGACTGCAGCAGGAAAAACCTTCACCAGGCGCTGGATGGCGTCACCACGCGACAACCACCTGACGTCCTTGATGCCTTGAACTTCAAGCTGGGTCTCGCAAATGACCTCCTGAAGCTCTTGAAACCGGGCGTGGTTAACACAGGAACGACCGAGGTTCTCAGCCACGGCGCGGACCACCTTGTCCACGACGCTGAAGTCAGGATGCTTGGCGGCAGCATCCTTGGCCGCCAAGGCCTCCCTGCAAGACAGCAGATGGTAACATTAGCACGGGTTTTTTAAAAAAAAAGTAGGCAGGAAACGCGCAGTAACAACGCCTACCTGTGCGCGATGCAGTGAGACGACACAAGGTGAGGAACCTTGACTTTCAGGCGCGCGGTGACTCCGTTGTGCTGTCCAAGCATGACGGAAGCACCATCAGTGCTCATACCGGTGAGGCGCTGTAGGTCGATGCCGGTACTCTCCAGATGCGTCAGGAGCACTGTGGTGAGTGACGCGGCGTCACACTGCTCCACACTGAGCAAGGCGAAGAACTCCGTCACGGGTGCGTTGTCACGCATGAACGTCAAATAGACGATCATGTGCTTCCCCCGCCGTCGGTCGGTGCTCTCGTCTAGCTGGATGCCAAGGTACGGACTGTCGCGGATGTGCTTCAGCTGGCGGGACTTGAGGTAGCACACCATGGTCTCGACCAGTTGTGCGAAGCCGTACCTGAGACACCACGGGTTGATACTCGTTAGACTCGTAACCAAATAACAATAAAAAGATGAGTAAAACGGGACACTTACTCGCTGTAGTACGTCCCGTTCTCCTTCAGGGGCAAATCCGGTGTCCCCTGCTCTGCCATGAATTGAACCAAAGCCACGAAAAGAACAATGGGAGCATCAGACTTGCAAATGAATAGCACGATAGCCATCAACCGAGCAATACGCTTGACATCAGCGTCCCCACGGTGGAAGTCAGCAATTGACTTCTGCACTTTCTTGACGCCGTCGCGCTCCTCCTTCCTCAAGACCGCGGCCTCGTGTTTCAGACTGTGGTGATGCTTGCGCATCGTCTGCTTCTGGATGTCGATGCCGCCATCGCCGTTACGCCCGTATTTGTAGTTCGGGTCACCGAAGACCATGCAGACGCTGCAGCGCATGCACGGGCGGCCTGCCTTGTTTTCGGAGATGAGGAGCCAAGGAAAATACCGCTGCCACTGCTGCTTGCACTTCAACTGAAGCTCCTCAACCGACAGTTGCTTGCCCTTCGGGTCTTCGAAGTCTTCACTCGCGGGTTCAGGTTCTGGTTCCGCGGGGCGCGGAAGAACTGACGATGCTGGCTGAGTCGGACCGCCCGGACGGCAGACGGTGAGAACACGCTGTTTATACCGCTTCTTCATAGATCTGTCAGGCAAGACGGGGTTAGCACTGCGAGAGGTTGTGGCGACCGACACTGGAGGGATGCTCTTATTTGCACATTCGTCAGGGAGCGGGGGGGATAACAGCGTTGTTGGGGTAGTCGTTGCTGGCACGTGTTGATCGCCATTTTCCGAGTTGGGCAAAGGTACCGCAGCAGAGGTCGACGCAATCGGAGGGGCAGCAGAAGCGATCTGCTTGCCCCGCGTTAGGAAGTCTAGGGCGGAAAGCACGGGCTCCCCATCGCACGGTCCGCCGGCTGTGACGGCCATAGCCTAAACGCTGGGAAGCGTCACGCTGGGAAATCAGACGCTGGGAGGGAAACGATCCATGCTCGGCTGGGAGAGAGGTGAGGACGAGCAGGAGAAACAGGCTTGTTTTCGCGCCAGACCCAGCTGCATGAAACCTCATCACCGTGCACTGCACTCAGAACCGAAAGGCGGTGCGTGTTGGGAGCGGGGGGCACTACGACCACAGTGATGTGTTGCGCGCCCTCTACGAAAAGCAAATGCGCTGGCACAACGGGACAGCGCGTTGTCGTGGCTGTGGCTGGCGTCGGCGCCGACAGCCACCCAAACGACAAACACCTGGCAGCATATGCCGCAGATACATGCCAGCGAGGCTGCACAAGGCAGTTACAGAGCTGTATAAGACACGCGTAATGAATGCGTGCAGTTACAAGGCAGCAATCGGCTGTACCTGTGGTGGTCCTGTCCTCTGGTCAACTGGGCCTATGGCCTAGTGGGTCAAGTTGTCGGTTTCAGACGAAACCGAACTCGCTATCTGTATCCTCAGATAAAAAATTCTACACGTCTGAAAAAATCATACGAACTTAAAAGTCAAATCTTGCTCATCAGATGAGAACAAACACAAAATCTTAGGATTAAGATGAATACAAAAAAACGAGTCTTAAACGCAGACCATCAGACCAAATTGGTCTGATAACGAGAACCCTGCTGCCGACCATGGGGTAAGAGGACGTCCATTGAGTGCCTCGGTTCACGCCGGGATACATGGTGAGTACACTGCATTGTTGGCGAGCTGTTAGGCTACTGAGAAGCAAATCACATATATGAACGGACGTGTCTACTAGGTACGCCTTGTGATGCATCTAGCTATTAAGCGTAGTAAGCCCAACCAGAGGTATGCTACAAAAACAACTACAATCTCCAACCACATTGGATTAACACAGTACGGTACCGCCTTTCAATTGTTTGCGCCAAGAACTTTAGCAATACATGCAGAGTTTTATTAAAAAGGTAATGTTAACTTTTACATGACAGTGCTGTTCTGTGATTCCTGGTCTTGTCCAGTTCTCGTGGAGGTCTTACCAACATTTCCTAGTTTATGATACCGTAGGCTTGGTAACAGCAAGGAACGGTGGGGAAGGGTGAGGAGCTGTGGATAATGGTGGGGAATGTGCAACGTGCGGCTGAACTGGAACATGTGTGCAAGGGGAATAAGGGGGGACAGTGGGGAGGGGAGGGAAAGGGTGGGGAAGAGTGTGGCAAGTGAGACCTTCCCTTTTTCTCCCACGCCCTCTTATTGAACTTGCACCACAATAGCACATGCAATGCAAGGCCTGAATTACATGGGAGTTTACATGCCGCTATCCAGAAGCAAAGCAGTATCCATGGCATGGACAAAAATCTACAGGCTCGACTACATATTGCAAACAAGAGCAATACAAGTGACAGCATGTTTAGGGTAATACACTACACCGTGGCCCACACGCCGTTATTCCTGCCCCTTGCCAGAAGGAGCGCTGTATCCATGGCATGGGTGACAAAAAGCAGACTCGACTACAAATTGCTGATGAGACCACGCCCAGTGATGGCGTGTTCATGACCCCTACACCGGGGTCCACGTGCCGTTGTTTCTGACCCTGGATGGGAGCAGCACGGTATCGACCGCGTGGACGACAATCGATGGGCTCGAGTACATGTTGCCGATGAGGACGCGCGCTCCTTCTGTGTCCTCCATCCTGTATAGCTTCAACCAGTAGTCCGTCTGATTCTTCTTCAGCGGTAGTTTATCAAGCGTTTCCAACTGCAATTATTATAAAAGGGATAGAGAGGGATTACAAGAGGGGATGAGTGTATGGAGGATGTGGTTGGGGAGGAGGAGAGGCGGGAATTCAGGTAAGGATGAGGTGAGAGGTGTAGGAATCGGTGTTAGTACGAGGGATGCGACGTTTCAATCTTACCTGAAATCCATTACCAAGGGCCTTGATGTCCTCGAGTTCCATCCGACGTGGCAGCACGTGATAGGCCATCACCTGCCAGAGAATACTCTTCTTCCTTTGCAGCCCTCCAAAGCGCGTATTCTTGGGCATGCGGAAATACGCTCCATTGGTTGGCGCAAAGATCGTAACATTCTTGGTGAGGAGTGTATTCATCAGCGTCTCATTCATACCTGTAAACATGGAACAATGCGTGGGGTCAAAGATGAATACAATCTGTTACACAAACATATTCAATGTGAACTTAAAACACAGAAATACATTATTCGTAGGCACATGAGAGTGCACTACTGAAAAGGATTTTAGAGGAGATGTACGGCAACTCACCGCTCATTCGGATGCCTGTAGCAACCCCCGAGAATTTCCTCTCGTACAGAAACGACAAAACCTCGTTCACTTTCGCCAGCGTTGCCTCCTGCTCCACAGTCAGGATGGGCCCCGACGCTCCACCTGGCGTTCCGCCTGACCCTCCGCCTGACCCTCCACCTGACCCTCCGCCTGAAGCGCCGCCTGAAGCTCCGCCTCCGGAGCCCGCTCCTCCTCCGTTTTGACTTCCGCCTCCTCCACTCGCTTGCCCTCCGCCGGTCTGACTCCCCGTTCCCCCGCTACCGGTATGGCCACCAGTGTCCCCCCCGCTCCCCGTCCCGCTCCCCGCTCCACTTCCCCCTCCGCGGATCACATCTCCGCCATCCCCCGACGACCTCCCCGATTTAGATCCAGCGTCCGTTCCCGAACCTGTTCCCGAGCCTCCACCCGTACCTGTTCCCTTTCCCGAGCCAGATCCGGAGCCCCTTGACTTCCCCCCTCCTTTCCCCTTCCCCTTGCCTGCAAGGCTTCCCGTTCCCGTTCCCGTACCCCCCCCTGCGCCTGTCCCCGTTCCCCCTCCCGTGCCTGTTCCCGTACCTCCCCCCGCGCCTGTCCCCGTACCTTTCCCCGCGCCTGTCCCCGTACCTTTCCCCGCGCCTGTCCCCGTACCTTTCCCCGCGCCTGTCCCCGTACCTTTCCCCGCGCCTGTCCCCGTACCTTTCCCCGCGCCTGTCCCCGTACCTTTCCCCGCGCCTGTTCCTGTACCTGTCCCCGCGCCAGCCCCCGTACCTGTCCCCGCGCCTGTCCCTGCGCCTGTCCCCGTACCTTTCCCAGCGCCCGTTCCCGTACCCTTCCCCGCGCCCGTTCCCGTACCCTTCCCCGCGCCCGTCCCCGTACCCTTCCCTGCGCCCGTCCCCGTACCCTTCCCTGCGCCCGTCCCCGTACCCTTCCCTGCGCCCGTCCCCGTACCCTTCCCTGCGCCCGTCCCCGTACCCTTCCCCGCGCCCGTCCCCGTACCCTTCCCCGTGCCCGTCCCCGTGCCTTTCCCCGCGCCCGTTTTCGTGCCTTTCCCCGCGCCCGTCCCGATTTCCGGCACCTTCCGCGCACCGGTTCCCGTTGCTTTGCTCCCCCCAGTCCCCGTAGTACCCTTGCCGGCCGCTGCCGTCATCGCCATAAGACCGATCGTGCGATCAGAGCCGTCGGCGGCAGACGCGGTCTTTACGGATAGTTGGGAGCCACCACCGCCCAGCTCCGTTGCCATACCGAGATCGGTGCTCACGCCAAGCGATGTGCTGCTATCGAGAGATGATTGGCCCGCCGCCATGATGTTGGTGCGCCCCGAGCCGTCTGCAGTTCCGGCGGCGGCGGCAGCGGCGGGAAGCAGCGGCGATACGACGAGGGCGAGGAGCAGGAGGAGCGGGAGGGTCAGCAGGGTTAGGCCAAGTGGGGCTACGGCGGAGTGAAGAACTTGGGACGAACGCCGTGACATGCGCCGCGATTGCGTCGACGCCATGGCTGCGACTGTCATCGAGTTGAGGATGCGCTGCGTCGTCGTCGGTTAACAGGGAATGATTTTTATGACTTGACGAAGTTTTTCAGCGGGAGGAACTACTGGCACGAGAAGCGATTTTTTTTGCACGGCTAATATTCGTTCCGAAGGTACTGAGTCGACTGAATCACGGTCGAAAACGAGCCCCGACGATGCGGACGCAGAGATAATGAGGAATTTTCAAGAATTCCAGGGAATCGAGCACTATTTACACCCTCGTACGGCTCGCGAGCAGATATGCCAAACCACCGACGATGATACGTGACAAGGGGAGCGCGATGACTATGTCTGGTCGAACGCCGACTAGATACAAAGAAAGTAGAGCATACCTACGAAAAGTTGCGAATCAAAGGAGAAAGCGCCTCAGGTCGCAAGAGTGGTCTGTTGGTAAAAAGCTTCGAAATCAAACGTCGCGAAGAACTCGAGGGTTATGGTGTGTGGAGGCCGGGTGGGAGCACTGGAACCTATTCGTGTCCTAGTGGGCCAGTGTTTTGCGCTGCAGAAGCAATCTGCCGAGAATACCGCTGTCAACGTTGGCCAAGTGAAGCAGAACTCAGGCAATTCCTGGAAAGGCGAAGAAGCATGTGAGGAAGGATGCTGGCGAGGTAAGGGTGAGCTGGGTGGGAGGGTGGGGGTGGGAGGGATGCCGCCCCAGATTCCAGAATTCCAATTTCCAACGATTTTTTCCGGACCGCGAGCGACTCGCCTCAGGGCACCGGTGGAGTGTGGGATGGGTGGCTGGCTGCGTTGTCCCCCGTTGACCCCCCGCAACACAAGCGCCCCCTGATTGCTGGGTTGCGAGTTGCTGCAATGTGGCCGACGCGTGGGTATCATGCGACTCGGAAACCAAACTGTTTGGGTGAACATCTGAAATGTCGGAGTCCGAGATTTTTGGCAACGTGGTTCACTTCAGGTGTATCCGTGGGACAGCTGTACTGCCGAATCAGCAGACTGAAGCACAGCTGGGGAACATAGAACTTTAGGGTGCGTCCCCTCTCTCGAAAGAACATCCCTCGATCGATCGAGGCCAGCTACAATTTCGCAATTGACAGGGTAGCCAGATTTCGAGAAGGCTTGCAAATCTACAGTAACTTGTGCCCAACGATCTTGTAACCTCGGCTGTGACGATCGATGTGCCCTCGTGGCCACACCGATCTCGGCTTTAGAAGGATCGAGGATTTTTTGCCCCTTGTATTCTCGATCCTGTCACCCAGGGATCGAGATCGATCCGCTGTTGTCACCTCCTACCAATCCCATCACAGCGATCGGGCGACCGATCGAGGGAAGGGACGCGCCCTTACACACTCCAGCAATTTGTAGACGAGGTAATGTCCGCTCCATTGAGTGCCTGAGATAATGATTAGATGCATGGCGAGTACAGTGATCTTGATACAGAAGGTAACAGGCTACAACGAAGATAATAGCTGTTGTGACTGAACGAGATTGTGACTAGGTAAGCACTGTGTTTCATATAACATTATATTATTTATTAACTTTAGAAATTATTTTATTCTGCGCAAATATATAAACACATCTCTGCCCAAGGTGGTCGCATACAAACGTTCAAAATATGTGTATTTACGATGATAGTGTTTTATAGAATACGTGAGGATTTGAAAGAGTGGTAAATTTCTATTCTGTATACGGTGCTGGAGGTGTTGCTCTAAGATGGCTGGTACTGTCCATTTCTCATGCAAGCCTAGAAATGAATCCCTCGTAGTGAATATACGCGTTTAAGCCAGCAGTTTTCTGTTCCATGCAGGAAATCGAGAACGACACAACCGAGGTAGGGATTGGCATTTCCTGCCAGCTATACCAGTTCTCCCCGCAAAAAACGGCTGTTTCGAACTAGGTTGGTCCACTCGGTACCTCGAAATCAGACCCCCGCGTCTCACGCTAGATGCGTTGAGAATCCATCGCGGCGTGTCGATCAGGAGAAGCTAAACTCGTATGAAATAGCTGAGGAATCGATGCGAAGTGCTTTGTAGCATCTCGAGTTCCTCTTTCCTCGCCTGACATTTTGTGCATTTGTCCTCTCAGAAGGCAGAGGTATACGTTTTGAAGGAACAAAAACAAGTACGTGAATGCCGTCCCCTCTCCGGTTCGGAATCGCAGTCGATCTTCGCTAGAAGACAGAGGAAGCCGAAACTCGCTGCAAGAGTTCTCGTTAGAAGAAATAGACGTCAGACCGGCACCATCATCGCCTGCATCTGCATTCTCCAATCCCGCTTCCTCCGCCGCCACCGCCGCCGCCGGTGCCGCGGCCGCGGTCACAGCCCTCATCCCCGCAGCAGGAAGCGTTTTTTCCCGCTTAAGCATGTTTCGTTCTAGTCCCGTATCGGGAAGCAGGTACGTGTCTCAAGTCCGGCCCGAGCCGCGCGCCGGAAAGGACGGCGGCAGCGACATCGACGAAGGCGATTCCGTCCACGACGAAGCTTCATCGCTGCTTCGCTCGGACGCGAGACCGTTTCCTACGTCCGTCGGTGCTGCCGGGGGCATCTTCGGCGGGTCTTACGGCGGCGGCGGCGGGGGCGGGTTTAGGAAGGGGAATCGGAGGCTAAGGACGCTGGCGGCGTGCGCAGCGCTGGTGGTGGCGGCGCTGGTGCTGGCGGCGTGCGCGGTGGTCGACGTGGCGGACGCGTGGCTGGGATTCGGAGGGACGCGACGGGCGGCGGGACTGGAGCGATGCGTGCCGCAGGACATCCCAGGTAGATGCAAGGGGAGTGGTGGGGAACGGTGGGGAGGGGTGGAGAATGGTAGGGTGGGGAACGTGCGACTGGCGGCGGGACTGGAGCGATGCGTCCCGCAGGACATCCCAGGCAGATGCAAGGGGAACTGTGGGGATCGGTGGGGAATGGTGGGGAATGGTGGGGTGAGGAATGTGCGATGGATGGGGAACGTGCGAGAGATCCTCAAATCCCCCCGCCCACCCTCGTTTGTAACCTGCCCCCGGAGGTGACAGTGGAGGGAGGTGAAGGTGGGGTGCTGCTGCTGCCACCGGCACATGACTCGTGCGCCTCTTGCTCACTCATACACCCTCCCCTCTATGCCAGTGCCATCACTGGCAGAGATGACAGTGGAGGGAGGAGAAGGTGGGGTGGATGATGCAGATAAACGAGCGAGTAGGGGCGAGGCGATGACTCTTGCCCTCGTTGGGGTAAGTGATTGTTGAGTCTACTTAAACATCACCTTTCCTTGCTGCTGAAATCTCGTGAAAATCCTCCGCCCCTTCCTTTCCCCCTCCCCCTTATGCCAGTGCCATTACTGGCGGAGATGACAGTGGAGGAGAAGGTGGGGCAGATGATGCAGATAGACGAGCGAGCGCTGGGATATGGAGACAACATCACAGTTTACCATATCGGATCAGTTCTTAGGTGAGTCTTTCTCTCAGGTGAGCCCTTGCCTCAGTGCAAGCCTTTCCCTGCTGCAACGTTTTCTTTGCGCTGGGAGGGAGACACGGAGACAACATCACAGTGTACCATATCGGATCGGTTCTTAGGTGAGTCTTTCTCGAATGGTCCTTCGCTGGTGCTCTCCTATGTTAAACTGAGTCATCACAGTGTACCATATCAGGCGTGCTTTTCTTGTTGGGGCGGTGGTAGGCAAGGCAACATCACAGTGTACCATATTGGATCAGGGAGTTTGTTGTACGACGTGACTTTTGAGTCGATTAAAAAGTCATCAGAGAGTTTATTGTACGACAAGTCCTTCTTAGGTGCGTTTCTTCTCTTGGGACTAGGGAGGCATGTTTCCACAGCTCATTTCCCGTATTCCTCCTCTTCCCCATCCCTCCTTCCCCGCGTTGTTTTCTTCCCCCCCGCCCTCGCCCTCCTCCCCTTATATTCCTTCCATCTGTGGGGGAGGGGCATGGCTGCAGTACGCCCCCAACACCCCCACGGCATGGGCAGACATGGTCGACAACTTCCAGGCCAAGGTGCTCAACATGCGTGTGCTCAACATGCGTGTGCTCAACATGCGTGTGCTCAACATGCGTGTGCTCAACATGCGTGTGCTCCCTGTCTCAGTCTTCCCCTCCTGCCCGTGCTTTGCCTCCCGTGCTTTGCCTCCCGTGCTTTGCTGTGTCATATGCCAGTGGGGGAGGGGCATGGCCCCAATACGCACCCAACACCCCAAGAGCATGGGCGGACATGGTTGATAACTTCCAGGCGAAAGCACTCAACACGAGGCTGCGGTTGCCAGTGCTGTACGGGGTAGACGCGGTGCACGGGCACAACAACGTGCAGGGGGCGACTATTTTCCCACACCACGTGGGGCTGGGGGCGGGTGGGGATGCCACGCTTGTAGAGGCGATTGCTGCCGCTGTGGCAAAGGTGAGCTGCCGATTTGTGAAGGCTCGGGCCAAAGTGCTCACTCACCACTCGCCTGCTGCGGGTGCCAGTGCTGTACGGGGTAGATGCAGTGCACGGGCACAACAACAACGTGCAGGGGGCGACTATTTTCCCCCACCACGTGGGACTGGGCACCACTGGGAACGCAACACTTGTTGAGGAGATTGCTGCGGCTGTGGCCAAGGTGAGAGTGCAGGTCAAGGCGAGGGTTCTAAGCCAGGTGAGTTGGGGTGAAGGGCATGGGTCAAGCCGCTCAACACGAGGCTGCATGTGCCGGTGCTGTATGGAGTCGAGCAGCTGTCGCTAAGGTGATTCGGGGCTGCTGCTGCTAAGTTGAATTGAGCGATTGTGACCATCTCATCTGCCAGGCCCCACCCTACCCCGCCCCACCCTACCCCACCCTACCCCACCCTACCCCACCCTACCTCACCCTACCTCACCCTACCTCACCCTACCCCGCCCTACCCCACCCATTCCAGGAAGTGGCAGCGACGGGGGTGCGGTGGACGTTCGCCCCGGCAGTCACGGTGTGCCTCGACCCCCGCTGGGGCCGCTGCTACGAGAGCTATGGGGCGAACCCAGGGCTTGTAACAGAGCTTGCTATAGCGGAGATACGTGGATGGATGGTGAGGGGAACAACTAGAGAGGGGTAAGGGGGGGTTAGCAGGAGGAGGAGAAGGGGGAGTAGCAAAAAAGAGATCACCAAACTGCTGCATTTTTCTTCTTCTCACAAGGCTCAGGAAGCCTTCTTTTTCTTCTTCTCACTCAGGCCTTGTGAGCGATTTTCGAGAATACTAGAAAAAACCCTACAGCCTTGTGAGCGATTGTCGAGAATACTAAAAAAGTCGCTCCATTCTCTCTCTTCATTTGACGTGTGATTATTTCTATGAATCAAGACGTACTTTTCTTAAAGCAACAAGTTCAGCAAAACAGAACCCCCTCCTCCTCCTTCCACCCCATTCCCTGCCTCAGAAAGTGCCTTCCGAGGCTGGGAACTTTCCAGGAAGCGTCTTCATGGCGCCAACAGCAAAGCACTACGTGGGGGATGGGGGCACGAGGGGAGGTGTGGACCGGGGGGAGACGGTAGGGGGGGAGGCGGTACTGAGGAAGGTGCATCTGCTGCCGTACGTGGCGGCTGTAGCGGAGGGCGTGTCTACCATAATGGCGAGCTACAGCAGCTGGAACGGCACCAAGATGCACGGCAATGGGTGAGTGAGCTACAGCTGGGGCAAGTGGGTGAGTGCATGGATGGAATGGAAGCAGGTTGTAGCGGAGGGCGTGTGTGTGTCTGCCAGCATGGCGAGCTACAGCAGCTGGAACGGCACCAAGATGCACGGCAATGGGTGAGTGAGTGAATGAGTGAGCTACAGCTGGGCATGACTGCATGTGCGCTACAGCTGGGCATGACTGCATGTGCGCTACATCCACTACAGTGGGGGCTCTTATAGTGGCAGAGGGGGGTTGGCTGTAGCGGAGGGTGTGTCTACCATCATGGCGAGCTACAGCAGCTGGAACGGCACCAAGATGCACGGCAACGCGTGAGTGGGTGCGCTACAGCTGGGGGCAATGGTTTCGCTTCATCCCCCTTCCACCTCACCACGCACCACCACTTCACCTCATTACCCCTGTCACTTGTTCCTTGTTTCATGGCCCCCACCGGCTATTTCTTGACAGCCTTGCTTCGCAACGAGATTCACTTTTGAGACTCCTGAGAAACACACACCTAGTCACCCTCCATCCCTCTACCCTCCAACCCTCCACCCTCCACCCCTCCACTTCCCCCCTTCCCCTTCCAGCTACCTCTTGACGGATGTGCTTCGCAAGGAACTCGGCTTTGTGGGCCTCATGGCGTCTGACTGGGAGGCAACCTCCACCCCTCTCCACCTCTCTCCACCGCCTTAACACCCCCCTCCCGTCCCCTTCCAGCTACCTCTTGACGGACGTGCTGCGCAAGGAGCTCGGCTTTGTGGGCCTCATGGTGTCTGACTGGGAGGCGCTCAAGGAGCTTCCAGGAAGCTACGAGGACCAAGTAGGTAGCAGTATTCATTGTTATTGTTATTCTTATTGTTGTTGTTATTACTATTATTATCATCATTATTGTTATCATTATTGTATTGTGATTATTGAAGTTGTTATTCCTATTATTATCATCATTATTGTTATCATTATTGTTATTGTGATTATTGAAGTTGTTGTCACTACTAATACTATTTTTGCCGTTCTTTTCTCCTCCCTCCTTATCTCTCTTACCCTCGTGTCTGAAAATTCCACATTGGTGTGATATCCAACTCAGGTCTCAATGTGATCAAGGTTTCCAACAATTTTGCTCATTTCCCCTTCCACTCTTCCTCTCCCTCCTATACGTTCCCTCCGTTTCACTCCCTCAATCATCTCCAGGTTGCCCTGGGGGTCAACTCGGGACTTGATATTATCATGGTTCCTATTTTCAACGACTTCACCGATTTCTCAGCCACCCTCAAGTCTCCCTTCCTCTCCCTCCTTTCATTTCCCCCTGTTCCTCTCACCCTCCTCCCCCACGTACCCAGGTTACCCTGGGGGTCAACTCGGGACTCGATATGATCATGGTTCCAAACGACTTCGCCAATTTCTCGACCACCCTCACCTCTCTAGTCAACTCGGGGCGCGTTCCCATGTCACGAATCGACGAGGCCGTGTCGCGCGTTCTCTCGCTTAAACACTCCCTAGGTCTGTTTGACAAGGACTTGGTCTGTGCGCGCCACTCCTCCTCCTTCTTCTCCTCCTCTTCCTCCTCGCTCTCCTCACGCTTCCTCCCATTTTTTGGCTGCCCGGAGCACCGCCAACTTGCCCGAAAAGCTGTAGCGGCCTCGCTGGTGCTTCTACAGGACAAGTGGAGGAGAGGGGGGACCGGAAGCGGGTATAACGCTGCCGTCTGGGGCCGGGGCAGGAAGAAAATGTTTCCGCTGCCCGTGGAGGGGGCGAAAATCGTTGTTGCGGGCAGCCATGCAAACGACATTGGGAGGCAGTGTGGCGGATGGACTATCACATGGCAGGGGGAAGAGGGACCTATCACCAAAGGCACTACTATTTGGCAAGGGATTAAAGACCTAATTGCCGGCCGGGCGGCGAGCCTAACCTATATCGGCTACCCGCCAGAAGACGACCGTTACGAGAACGGGACGAGAAAAAGGCCGCTCGAAGCCACCCGGGAGGCGGCAGCAGCGTGGGCGAAGCGAGCAAGGAGTGTAGAAGCTGACCTTGGGATTATAGTTGTAGGGGAGCCGCCTTATGCCGAGTACAAGGGGGATGATCAGCAGCTGGAGTTGAGCGGCCCTGCCCGGTCGACAATTTTCGGGATTTGCGGGCGGATTCCGTGCGTTGTGGTGGTGGTTTCCGGGCGGCCGCTGAATGTTACGGGCATGTTACCGCATTTGGATGCGCTAATAGCCGCGTGGTTACCCGGGTCGGAAGGAGGGGGTGTAGCCGACGTGTTATTTGACGAAGCGGTGGATTTCAAGGGGAAATTACCCTTGCCGTGGTTCCGTTCGGTCAGGGATTTGCAGCCGGATCACTCTTGGCCTAACCCGCCTCTGTTCCCCATGGGGTTTGGGCTGAGTAAGGCTGGTGAGCTGATTGGTAACAGGGTGGGAGGCGAGGGGCCACCATAGGGAGGGGAGGGAAGGGACTTGCAGCCGAACCACTCTCCTGGCCCAACCCACCTTAGTTTTTAATGGGGTTTGGGCTGAGCAAGACTGGTAACTGATACCGTAGATAACAGGGAGAGAGGAGAAAGAGCACCGTAGGGAAGGCACCGTAGGGAAGGCACCATAGGGAAGGCACCATAGGGAAGGCACCATAGGGAAGGGAGTTGATTCGCAGCCAAATTATTCCCTTGGGCTGGGCCCAACCAACCTGCCTTTGCCATAGGACGTTATGATTCGTAAAAAATAAATCGTGTGGTAACCAGTTGCATGGTGAGTCTTGGGGAAAGTGAGGGGAGGAGGTGAGAAAGGGGGGGTTGTGGGGTGCGTAATCGTTCTGTTTGTTTGGGTGTGTGTGGGCAGGGCAGTGTGTGCGGGTGTGAGTGGATTTCTGTGTGGAAAGGAGGGAAGAGGTGAGGAAGGGGGGGAAGGGGGCAAGCTCCTACATGCATGCTGAATCCTACCTGCTACCGTATGTTCCACTATACCGGCAAAACTACCGTAATTCCGAATAAGAAGCTAAACCCTTATAATGTTTTTGAAAGCAGTAAGCCGCAACACCATTGTGATCTGTATTAAAAGGGAAGGTAATTCAGATGTCCAATCCTTGTTGCAAACAACCCTGAACCTGAACTACATACAGATGCAGAATCTGCAATACGGTACTCTCGATGCCTTTGGGCAGGTTCCAGCATGGGAAGAAGCGATCTAGGGTGCATTCTTCTCATGTGCGCTCTCAGTGAGTCACTACTAAGCCCCGCTGCCTTGCCACACAAACCACAGGCACATACTGCTTCTGACGCCCCTCAAGAAGCAGATTCAAGAGGAGTCAAACACGTTCTATAGTGCTTTCTCCTCATGTGCGCTCTCAGCCAGTCACTACTGAGCCCCGCAGCCTTGCCGCACCCAGCACATGCGCGCACTGCCTCTTAGGCTCCTCAAGACGCAGATTCCAGAGGAGGAAGAGGCGTCCTGGGGTGCATCCTCCTCATGTGCGCTCTTAGGGAGTCACTGCTGAGCCCCGCTGCCTTGCCACACACGCCACACACCCGCACTGTTGGTCGGCTCACTCGCCCCCTCGGGCACCAGGGCAGAGCAAGAGGCACGGGGGAGACAGAGGGGGAGGAGGCGGGTGCAGTTGCTGCAGGAGCAGAGGCAGGGCCGGAGGAGTGGGGGGTAGGCGCAAGAGGAGGAGCGGTTGCGGTGGTGGCAGGAGGGGTGAAAACATCAGGAGCAGCAGCAGTAGCAGCAGCATCAACACTGGTATAGGGGGTTGTAGGTGCTGCAGGAACGGCAGCAGAAGGGGTTGCAGCAGCAGCAGTGACAGCGGCAGTGCTAGCAGTGTTGACGGTGGGAGCATCAGTACTGGTATTTGCCGGCATGTCACAGGGAGGAGTTTGGGCAGCGGTGGGAGGAGGGAGAAGAGGAGGCGGAGATGGAGGAGGGGGAGGGGGGAAGAGCTGTCTGTCGAGGGCCACGAGCTGGCGGAGGAAGGCGGTGTTGGGGGCGGCATGGGGGTGGGCGGAATGCAGCACCACCCATGCCTCCGCCAGGGGCATGCGCCTGGGGGGAAAGGACAGGGGGGGAGTGGGGAACGAGGGGCGGGGGGAGGAGGCAAGGGGCGCCGGGTGGGGGCCACAGAGGAAGAAGAGTTAGCGAAAAGAGATGGTAAGGGGAAAGGAAGAGGGAAAATGGGAAAGGAAGGCGCAGGAGGGTGGGGGGGGGAAGAGCCGTCTGTCGAGGGCCACGAGCTGGCGGAGGAAGGCGGTGTTGGGGGCGCCATGGGGGTGGGCAGTATGTAGCACCACCCATGCCTCCGCCAGGGGCATGCACCTGGGGGAATGGGGGACAGGGGGGGATGGGAGCAGGGGGACGAGTGAAGAGATTTCAGTCAAGGGGACCAGTTGGTATGTAGAGGAAGGTGGTGTTGGGTTACCGTGGGGGTGGGCTGACTGCAACACCACCCATGCCTCCGCCAGGGGCATGCGCCTGGGGGACGGGGGACAGGGGCAAGGGGAGAAAGGGGCAGGGGGACGAGAAGATAGGGGGATGAGTGAGTGAAGATCTTCGGTCGGGGGAGAGCAGCTGGCAGAGAAGAGCAGTGAAGGTGGGTCCATGGGGTTGGGCTGGGCTGGGCTGGCAGTGTACCAGCACCCCCTCGCCCTTGCTGATGGCTGCTTCCAGGAAGCTGCTTGTTGTGTCGATGTACTTGCTCAGGTCCTCCCGGTCCGAAGAGCAGTGAAGGTGGGGCCATGGGGTGGGGTTGGGCTGGGCTGGCAGTGTACCAGCACCCTCTGACGTACCTCGTGAGGGCCTGCTGGTCGTGAGGCCCTCTCGAGGTAAGTGTACACTGGCAGTGTACCAGCACCCCCACTTCGTGAGGGCCTGCTGGCAGTGTACCAGCACCCCCACTTCGTGAGGGCCTGCTGGTCGCCTCGACGTACCTCTGAATGCTTCTTACCCACCGTGCCATACACACCCCCTTGTGTGTGCCATACGCACAAGCATACCTTTTGGTCATGAGGTAAGCGAGCACGATCGACACGGATCGGCTGCGGCCCTCGTAGCAGTGCACCAGCACCCCCTCGCCCTTGCTGATGGCTGCTTCCAGGAAGCTGCTTGTTGTGTCAATGTACTTGCTCAGATCCTCCCGGTCTGAGTCGCGCATCTGATGGGGTCAGAGAGGCAGGGAGGTGGGGAGTGGCGTGGGGAGAAAGGCGGGCAGGGCAGGGGGGTATGGAGTCGTGCACAAAGCGAATTCTGAGAGTTCTCAAGAGTGATTCGAGCACATCTGCTCGTTGTGTCAATGTACTTGCTCAGATCCTCCCGGTCTGAGTCGCGCATCTGATGCCAGAGCAGAGGGATTACGGTGGAAAAGGGCGAGGAGAGGAGGGCGAGGAGGGCGAGGTGGGGAGCACACTTTGAGACATGCCGAGAGGGGCAAGAAGGGATGTTTGGAAACACAAGTTCTAGAGACTGGCAGAAACGCACAAGAGGGGGAGAGGACGGAGAGAAAGAGAGAAAGGGGTGGAGCACAAAGGAGAAACGGGGGCGAGAGGAGAGAGAAAAGAGAGGTTCCTAGGGGGAAGGAGACGAAGCGACAAGGGCAATAAATCCACCAATCCCCCTTTTCTTTCCCCTCCCTTCCTTCCTCTTCCCTAGCCCCCAGGGCAATCTCCACATACCGGCAGAACGAGGTAGTTGAAGAGGGGGGACTGCTCCGCATCAGGGTCTAACAGGTCCGTGGGGCAGAGCGTGACGACGTGGCGCACGCTCAGGTGGTGCAGCAGGGGGAAGGAGCGGGCAGCAATGGCGGAGCCAAGGTAGAGGTGGGGGAGGACGAGCGAGGGGCGTTCGGTCGCCATGGAGTCTTGAACAAGCCCCCACCGCTCCAGCAGGTGGTGTAGACGAACCTGAAGGTGGAGGGAAACGGAGTTTGGAGTGGGGATGAGGGGAGGGGAAGTACAGGACGGGTGAGCACAGGTGGTGCAGCAGGGGGAAGGAGCGCGCAGCAATGGCGGAGCCCAGGTAGAGGTGGGGGAGGACGAGCGAGGGGCGCTCAGTGGCCATGGAGTCCTGCACCAGGCCCCAGCGTTCAGTGGCCATGGAGTCCTGCACCAGGCCCCAGCGCTCTAAGAGATGATGTAGGCGCACCTGCGGAGAGGGAGGGGTGTTGAAGGGAATTAGGGAGGGCACCACTTAGGATAGGTGGGAGGGAGAGGAGCGAGAGGAGCAGCGGTGGGTTCATGAATGGGAGGACATGCCCAGGTGGAGCAGCAGAGGGAGCGGGCAGCAATGGCGGACTCTGTCACAAACGACACCTCAACTTGAAGACCGAAACTCCCCCACAAGTGGAAAACAAACCAGCACTCGCCTTGGCCTCATACACGTGTCAACCAGGCTGTGCGCCCCACCCCCCCCTCACACTCGCCTCCGTGAACTCTGTCGTCACAAATGGCACCTCACACGAGCTACAAGCCAAGCTCACACGTTACGCCCGTGTAATGCAAGCCATAACGTCTCGCCTCGAGCTACAATTCATAAGCATCCACCAAGCTGTGCGCCCCGCCCCCACCACTCGCCTCCATGAACCCTGTCGTCACAAACGGCACCTCACACAAGCATACAAGCCAGGCTCACACTGTACACCCTTGTACATGCAACCCATAACCTCTCACCTTGAGCCCATAAGCGTCCACCAGGCTGTGCGCCCCGCCCCCTCCACTCGCGTCCATGAACCCATGAAAGAAAATATTCTCTTCAAAACAACCTTATGTGGAAAACAACGCACTCACCTTGAGTACATATGCGTCAACCAGGCTGTGTGCCACAAACAGCTCCCCATGCGAGCATACAAGCCAAGCTCCTACAAGCTACCCTCAAATTCAGCTCATACGCATCAGCCAAACCGTGTGCCCTGCCGCCCGCCCCACTCGCCTCCATGAACCCCGTCACAAACGGCACCTCACATGAGCATACAAGCCAAAAATGCACCACCACACTCATGTAGGTGTAACAAGCCACTCCCTCTCACCTTCAACTCATATGCATCCACCAGGCTGTGTGCCTCGCCTCCCCCACTCGCCTCCATGAACCCCGTCACAAACGGCACTGCAGCCGCCTTGCAAATCCGCCCCGCCTCCTCCCGCATCATGCCATCCCACCGCTGCACCTGCTCCTCCTGCTCCTCGTCCCCCTGCGCTGACTTCCTCACTCCACAGATCTCCATACCAGACATGCAAACCCCTTGACCCACAAAACCCTCGCCCTGCAAACCCACTACTCACCTTGAGTTCATACGCGTCAACGAGGCTGTGTGCCCCGCCCCCTCCACTCGCCTCCATAAACCCCGTCACAAACGGCACTGCAGCCGCCTTGCATATCCGCCCCGCCTCCTCCCGCATCATCCCGTCCCACCGCTGCACCTGCTCCCTCAGCTCCTCGTCCCCCTGCGCTGACTTCCTCACTCCGCGAATCTTCATGCTCAGCCGCGAGGGTAAACCACCCAGAGACGCCCTCCAGGCAGCGGCTTTGACTGCGGATTTGCTGATGGAGGCAGGTGTGTGACGGGGGTTAGCGGGGGTTTTGTGGGATGGGGTTTTTTGGGAGGGGGTTTGGATCGTGGAGGGGGTTTTGAGGGTGGAGGAGGAGGTTTTGTGGGAGGGGCGAGAGGTGGGGCTGCGGATGGGGAGACGGGTGCGGTTGGCTGGGGGAGTGTGCATGCTGCTGGTGCTAGTGTCACGAGCAGAATCAGTGGCAGTATCAGTGGCAGTGTCAGTGGCAATATCAGTGGAAGGAACAGGTGCGGGATCAGCAAGAGTGGTAGTGGTGGCGGTGTCAGTAGCATTGTTCGTGGCAGTGGTGGTGGTGGTGGTCAGAGGAAGGTGTGGTTGCTTCTGCCGATGGTGGGTAGGGCGGATAATGGGTGAGGGGCGGGTGGAGGGAGGGGAGGAGAAGGCGGAGGAGAGGGACATGGGGGAGGTGGCACGGGTGGGTGGCGAGCTGGCAGCGCTGACAGCAGCGCTAGTGGGAGCAGTGGTAACAAGAGGAACCGCAGCAGCAGCAGCAGCGGCAGCAGCAGCAGGGGGACCTGCATCTGAAGAGCTTGCATCTCCTTGTGTCGATGCTTCAGCTGTGGCCTTCCCAGCAGCTTCCCCAGCTGCTTCTCCAGCTGCAGATGCCGCTGCTGCTGCTTGTCGGTCTGCCTCGTCGGTTGCTGCGGTCTTCTCACAGATTCTACTAAGGAAGGGCGAGCGGGCGCTAGTGAGGGAAGGAGATCGGGGAGCGTAGCGAGCAGGGGAGCGCACGAGGCGGGGCGAGAGGGCAGCACCAGCAGATGATCGGCGGTATGGGCCAGGGGAACGTGGGGGAGCAGGCGAGCGGGGAGGAATGGGTGAGCGGGGAGGAGCAGGGGAGCGAGGGGGGATTGGAGAGCGAGGAGGGACAGGGGAGCGGGGAGGAGCGGGAGAGCAGGGAGGGGCGGGGGAGGCAGGGGCAGAGAGAGCAGGGGAAGGGGGAGGGGCACGGGGGCGCCGAGAGAGAACAGTGCGACGACCACCAGCACTGACACTGCCACCAACACCACTACCGCCGCCACCACCACCACCGCCATCACCACCACCATCACCACCACCATTGCCCTCTGCAGCTGAATCAGCATCAATATCAGCAGCAGCAGCAACAGCGTCAGCAGCATCAGCATCAGTAGGAGAGCAGTCAGTGCGAGAGGCGTAGCCATACGCAGGCCCAGCAGCAGAGGGAGGCATGACTGGGGGAGGTGATATCCGCCTCATCACATGCTGAGAGTACGACTCCTCGCTAGGAGAGGGAGGAAAGGAGGAGGAAGGGTGGGAGTTGACAGCACTCAAGAACCTCTCGCAACGGGGAAACCTGTTAGAGGGAGGAGTTGAGGGTGACGCTTTAGAAGGTGATTCGTTAGAAGGTGACCCGTTACAGGGTGACCCCTTACAGGGAGAGGTTTCAGCAGACGGGGGCGCTCGAGGGGAAAGAGGGGCCGCCTGGGGGGAGGAGTTGAGGGAAGATTCGAAGTCCCTGGGGGTGTGGGGCGACCACAGGGCGGTACTATGTGAGCCGGTAGTGTGGGGGGAGGGTGTTACTGGGGAAGGTAGATCTGGGGCAGGTGCATTGAAAGGCTCTTCCAGCGGATCTTCTGCTGCTGAATTGGCAAGGGGGCGGAGGGAGGGCAGATATAGGGTCCTGCTGGCGTCAGCAGGTGCTATGGATGAGTCATCGTGGGAGAATGATGATGTCGGAATGGATGATGACGTGGAAGGCGATGGTGATGACGTGGTTCTTCTGACTATTGCAGTGGTGGCGGAAGGAGGAACAGAGTCAGGGGAAATGGGGTCTTCCGCTTCAGGAACAGGAGATAGGACAGGAGGAGGAAGTGGCAAATGAGATGAAGGGGCTGTGGAAGTGAAGGAGAGAGGCGGAGGAAACAGTCCAGTGCCTTGGCCTGCAGATGTCTCCTCAGCAACATCTGTAATCCTTTGTGCTGCTGTTATAATCTCTGGCTCTTTGGCAGCACCACCTCCAATGCTGCCACAGCCGCCACCACTGCCATCACCACTGCCTGTAACCCCATCATCACCACTAGCACCACTGCTGCCATCCCTCTTGCTGTCGTTCTCCCGCTCCCCACCAACACTTCCAAAGTCCAACCTACTCGCAGCCATGTGCGCAGTGCGGCACGAGATAGACGGCGAGGATCGTCTCGTAGCAGGTCCTCGCCGCCCAGAACAGCTGTCACCACCACACTTCAAGTCGGAACCAGCACCACCGCCAATCCTGCTGTCGCTGGAGTCACCAATCCCACCGAAACCACCACTATTACCGCCATCGCATCCCTTGTTGTTGACTCCTTGCCTTTGGGCGGATAAAGGTGAGAGAATGTGAGATCCCTTTCGGAAAGGAAATGGGGTCGTTGTGTTCATATCAACCAACGCCAACCCTCCTCCTCCTACCCCTCCTTCCGCTACTCCTCCTCCTCCCTCCACTCCCCTCCCTCCGCGCTCTACCACCCTTCCCTCTCCTCCCACCACCCTCTCCTGCTTCCCACTGTCACTGTCTCTCCTACCACCATATCCCATCCGGCCCTCACTCTCCCCACTCTCCCAGCCTCCAGCAGCCGCCTCAAACTCCCCACTTCGCACACGCTCTCCCAATCGCCCGCTCTGCCCATTCTCCCCACCTCTCCTGCCCTCCCGGCCTCGTCCGCCCTCCCCTGGCCCATCGAGTGCAGGCACGGAGGTGACAAACGCGAGGAAGGCGCGGAGCATGTCGTCCAGCCGCGAGTGCAGCGCTGCCAGCGTGCGCTGCACGCGCCCCATCTCCTCCACCGCCTCCCTGAACCCCTGCTGGAACGCACGCGTTTCTGGGGACACGATGGGGTGTGCTGCTGCTGCCAGTGCCAAGTCGGAGGGCTGAAAGGTCATGCTGCTGCTGCTCCTATTGCTGCTAGTTTTAGTGATGATTTTGGCACCAGGTTTGGTGGCGGCGGTAGCAATGGTTGCGGTAAAGGTGGTAGTGGCAGTGATGCTGGTTGTAACAGCAACAGCAGCGCAGGAGGTACTGGTGCTGTTCGGGGATGCAGGGTCGGTACAAGCAAAGCTTTCTATAGCCGCTCCAGCTTCAGTAAGCGCAGGGAGGGACTGCGATTGACTGTGAACAGGCTGCATGCAAGCATCTGTAGCAGGGGCAACAGCACCGGTACCACCTGTAGAAGCAGCCGTAGCAGCAGCAGCAGCAGCAACGCCTGTGGCAGCAGCTGTAGCAGAAGCGACTGCACCAGCACCAGTTCCAGAAGCACCAGACGAGGAGGACGAGAAGGAGGAGCAGGACGAGCCAAACGAGGACGACTCTAGCGAGGATGAGAACGACGACGATCCTGGCAGTAGCAGGTAACCGCCAGTATCACCTGCTACTGGCGGGAGCACAGAGCACCTCGCACCCACCTCATCACCCAGAGAACCCAACACATGCAGCTTGTCCTGCTTGTCCCGCTCGCCCAGAATGCTCAGCTTATCCTGCTTCTGCTGCTCACCCAGAGCACCAAAGGAGGCGTGGAAGAGGGTGTGGGCAGCAAAGCAGGGGTCATGCAGCAGCAGCTGCACGAGGCGTGGAATGGCCTCCCTGTCCTGCTCTGCCAGCCCGGGCGGCACGCGGCGGCAGATGGACGAATCAATCACCACTACCTCCTGCCGCACACGCACGTGCTCTACCTCCTGTCCTGCTGGCAGCTGAGTTACCTGATTCCCCTGCTCCTCCTGATTTTTGTCTCTATCGCATCCTCCCCCTCCCCCATCGGTTCTTCCCCTTCTCCTTCCTCGCCCCCTCCCCCTCCCCCTTCCTCCTCCACCTCCTCTTCCTCCACCCTCCCTGCCTCCACTCCCTCTTCTGTGGCCAGACCGACCACCCAATCCCCCCTCCTTCGCACTCTCCTTCCGCTCCCATGCTTGCAATAACGGTCGGTTGGAACATAAGATGTTACCGCGGTTACCCCTCCACCCCAATTCCGGGCAGGGTAACCGGTCATCGTTCCTCAACATGATATCCAGCAGCAGCACACGGCCCAAAGAGTGCGCGGTCTTTTCCCGGGCAGATTGGTCAGGGAAAAGTTCGTTCCGGGGACAAGAAACGAAAGATTGCCCTTTTACATGCCTGCACAAATGGGCACAGGATAGACAGGCGCATGAGAAAATTGAGCTGGCGGGGTGCTATGGGCAACGAACCTTGAGACGTTTCAAAACACAAGGGGGGAGGGAGACCGACAAGACAAGAAGCAACGCGGAGAAAAAACAAATTCAAACAATCCGAGCGACAAAACAATAAACACAACAGCAGGCGACCGGTTTCCTCCACTCGATTTATCAGCGGAAAGAAATTAGCGTGCTGCTGAGACTCACCCCATGAACAAGAAGCATCGGCTCAGCTGCAGGGCTTCCAGAAACTCCTCCACCACACTCGCCTCCTCCTTCCCTCCACTCTCCTTCCTTTCCACCACACTCCCTCCCTCCTCCGCTCCACCATCCCTCCCGTCCACCTCCTCCCCTCTCCCGCTCCTACCCCCTTCCCCTCTCGCCTCCACCTCTCTCTCCCTCAGTCGTTCCACAGCCAGAACCACCTCCTCCCACTCCTGACTCTGCTTCACAGCAAGCTCATGCGCCGACAAACAAGGATCATGGCCTCGACCACAAACGTCCACCTGGCCGGGGAACCCCCGCTGCTGGTTTTCTTTATCCATTGTGAAACGGTCGTCGTTGTCGCTGCAAGCACCAGAACCACCCAGAGATGCCATACTGCAAGTTCCAGCTACTGTGGCCCTTCTCCTACCCGTGTTGCCGGTGTTGCTGCTGCTGCTGTTGGTGTTAGTGGCACTGCATAGCACGGGGCTGCTGTGGGTGCTGCTTCTGCCGTGATTCCCCCTGTGCACCACGCGCACCTGCGGCGTGGCAATGCCCAGGTGCATGGCCAGCTCTGCTCCGAATCGCTCAGACTGCACCACAATGCGCGACCCCGCGAATTTGATGCACGCTGCTGCCAGTTGTGGCTGGTGTTCTAACCCTTGTCCTTCACGTCCTAACCATTCCTTCCCAGCCTTTTCCACTCCCCTGTTATCTTTGCTTTGGAGTGTGTCTTGAGGCGGAATTTGCGGCCCCAGCTTTTCCTCAATCGCCCCATTCCTGCCTTCCTCCTCTGTTTCTTTGTGCTCAAAATCGCCCCGTTGGGGTCCAGCATCGAGCATCTTCTGTTGGAACAGTGCAAAGTACACAATCCCGCCAGAGTTGATGGTCACCTGGGGCACGAGGAGGAACAGAAAGAACGGAGAAGCGAAGGAGTGGACACAGAGGGATCAAGGAGCAAGGCAGCTTAGGTCACAAGTCACCATGGAGAGACGAAACGGGAATGAAGTAGAAATATCAGCAGTTCAGGAGAAAGGGCCTGCAGGACGCATGAGGGTCGCCTGAAGAACACCTGAAGGACACACCACAGATAGACAACCGTGGGTGCGTTTGGATGCCTTACCTCCACACTACCGCTCTTTTCCATCACAGGTGCGTCAGAAAACCCCTCTCCTCCTCCCCCACCTCCCCCTCCTCCTCCACCTGCGACAGCAGAACTACCCTCCCCTCCCACTTCTGTGCGGTACAGGGCCACCAGATCCGACCAATCGAACCGCCCAACGCGTACGTCCAGCTCAGTAGCCCGCGCCAGCTGCTGCTTCCAGTCCCCAAACTTGTACCCGTGCCACGAGTCTTGGCGCTCGCTCCGAGCCTCTGAATGCTCGTACTGCGTCTTGCTTCGCCCAGCCTCGCAGCTTCCCCACCCAGCTTCGTCAGACTTGATCCGTACCTCATCATTCTCTAGTTGGGGGTCATAAGAACTACGCTGAGGTGCCTTACCATCAGTAGCATCGCTTGCAGCAGCAGCGGTAGCAGCAGCAGCAACAACAACAGGATGCCCCAGCTGTCCCACTAATTCCGCCTCAGAAGCAGCACTAGAAGGAGCAGCAGCAGGAGGAGGAGAAACAGAAGCAGGTGCAGGAACGGGAGGAGCTGGAGGGAAAGGAGCAGCAGCAGCAGGTGCGGCCCTGCTAGCAGCAGCAGTAGGTAGGGAGACAATAAGAGCATCACCCAAACCACAGGCTGTACCCCCTTCCACCTCTTCCCCCTTCCCTAGGACACGACAACCGTCAGATTGTTGCTCCTCAACCTCACTACCACTCTCTCCATTGGGGCGGCTCCTTGTCTGCTTCTGCGCCTTCCCCTCCTCCTCCTCTGTCAAACCTCCTCCGTCGTCCTCCCTCAAGCCTTCCCCACTGTACTTCACTGTACTCGCACCACCTTCCCCAGCCAGTCCACCTGGCACCACCCTATTGGCTAGCCCTGGCTTCTTGCTCCAATCCCTTCCACTCTCCTTACTGTAACAGTCCCACATAGTCACACCGTCAGCCATAGGCCACGAGGCTCGCACTATAGGGCCATCCTCTGCTGCTGCTACAGCTGCTGCAGCAGCTGCTGCTGCGGCTGCCATAGTCGCTGGGCTGAAACGGGAGGCAGAGTTGAGGCCAGGAGGGGAGGCTCCACCTGGGGTCGGTTGTAGCATTTCTCCACCACCACCCGTCCCCACACCAGCATCACCATCACCACCGGACCCCTTATCATCACCACTACCATCATTACTATCACCATTCGTCCCCTCACTACAGTTCTCGCCATCACCTGCTTTAAATCCTTTCGTCTTCACCCCTCTACTCCCCAATTTATCGCGTTCCCCATCCTGTCCACCACAAGCAGTCGCTGCCTCCTCTCTCTCACACACACTCTCCTCCTCCCTCTCACAAACATTCTCCTCCTCCTCCTCCAGCCGTCCAGAAAGCTGAAACTCCGGAAGCAGGATAGCCAAGGCACCGTTACAGGAACACCCGAAGCCAGAGCCATGTGACTGCGGGCAGGGGAACGGATGCAGTTCCGACTTGCTCGTCTCGCTGATGCTGTGACTGCGGCGAATGCCAGCAAGGGGAGGAGAGAGCGAGTCGTTCTCAGCGCCCTTCGTTATAAGATCGAGTTGGGAGGCGGAGGAGGTGGTTGGAGAGATGGGAGAGACAAGGTAGCCCATGCGATTGGCTGAAATGGACGGTTTGGGAAGGGAAGTCAGCCAACGCAAAGGATGGGGAAGGATAAGGCTTTGTGATGGACTGGAGAATGGAGAAGCCGAGGTTTGTTTATGAAGTGGTGAATGGACACTATGAGTTAGGGAAGAATAAAGTCTCGAGCCCTGCTAGCTTCGTCAAACGTGTAGAAGGTATATGAGGATTGTGAAAGGAGAATCAGGTTAGAAATGCAATGCATGTGAAGATCCTATCACAAATAAACACAAGTAATGGAGAAACTAACCATAGAAAAATCAAATCCCACCTCTCTGCCTTGCGCGCCAAGCTGCTCGCTTGCTCAAAAGCCACGGCTGGATGTCCCCCACCAATGACCGCCGGCCACGCGTCCGTGACAGAAACGCAAATGACTGCCAGGAGCGAAGGCAGGATCAGTGAGAAATGATAAGGCTAGGTTCTTGGCACGTTCTTTGCCCTCAAGCAGTATTAAGTATTCCACTTTATCACAACGAGAACGAAAACTACTACGCGTTTGGCTAACGAGAACGACGAGGGGATGCCATTCGCATACGGACCCTGTGCGAAAGAAGCACGGTCGACGACACGTCCTCGTGCTGCAGCGCGTCTTCTAACGCGGACGAGAACTCGGGGTCTGTCTCGTTGCCTTGCTCCGGGTCTTGCTCTTGATCAGTATCCGTCTCCCCCGGTTCTTGACCGTCGAGCTCTTCATCTTGAATGGCTTCTTGTCCTTCATTCTGACCATTCGTATCATTCATATTATTCTGATCCGTCTGATCGTTCTGATCGTTCGGATCATTCTCATTGATCCGATTATCGTGATCTCCAGGAACCGAATCTTTATCGTCCACCTCATCGGCCTCGTCGACCTGATTCGTTCTACGCTGCTCTGCACGAAGATCCGACCTCTGACCAGGTTTGACTGACGGGATGTGATAACTTGGGAACCTATTGCTGAGAGAATAAGCGTCCTGATCTTCTACGTTTTGTCTCTGATCGACAACTCCACAACTGAAGTCTAATCGCCTCTCTACCGCATCATGAATCTCATCGTGATCGTCCATTTTATGAACAGCTCAAGAAATGTAGTTCCCTGTTCGACTGTACAAACGCGTGAAAATATCACACAGAAATGTGAGAGTTAGTGTTGGAGAACCTGCGGCTGAATAACGACGTTAGTGACTTCAACAAGATGCCCAGTATAACTATGAACCTGGACTGAATTCGATTGACGGTCTTTGCGGAGCGGCACTACAACGCGGCATACACGAGAATCATCTATGGCCAGGGGGACTAGGGTCAACGGTACACCTGCTTCTAAACTCCAGAACAAGGACGCAAAGAACAATGGTGGCCCCAGACTCTGGGTGGGTCAATGACACCAATCGAGGTGAGAGAAATGGGAAAACCGCTCGACCGAACCGAAAACAGGGATCCTCCGAACCGAGAGCGACAATCTCGAGGGCGAGGGAGGGCAGAGGAAGAGGGAGAAGGCATGGAAGTGAAGTGGCGTAGCTGTGGGAACAGGGTGGGATGGGATGGTTGGGGTAAAAGGTTTAATACAAGGTGGGATACGTTTGTATGAGTTTGAATATGGTGCGAGATTGGGGAGATAGATGGGAAGAGGTGGGGGGAAGTGGTGTGGTGGAGGGGCTTCCATTTGTGCCGTTTGGGGAACATCACAGAACCGCACCGCCCAAACCTTGCAAACCATACTAAGCAATTGGCGGGAAATCGAGCCGCGAAATGACTAGCTTGAAGCCTGTCAGGTATTCTTCAATACAGCTAGTTCTCTACACTCGACTTGGCTTATTTTACACCAGAACAGAAAGAGAATGGGAAAAACTTAAACACCAGAAACGGGGACCTCTACAGGGTGGACCTGAATCTGGCAGAGATGCCTCCCAAAAATCCTTGTAAGTTCCCGACTGTGGTCCATCATCCTTCAGCTTCTTTTCGTGCGCGCCATGGCTAGTGGCTGCATTACATCGCTATCCAGTCCGCTTCAGCTCCGCGGACCCGTGATTGATAGAGTCAGCTCTGTACACTGCCCTATCTCGACCAGGAAAGTCAGACATATTTCCGCTACCCAGTGTTCTCTTCCCTTATCCAGTTTCCACACTAGAGTAGTTAAGGCTGGTCAGGCGAACGAAGTTAGCAACTCCGACTTGGCACATCGCGCGATCGAGGAGATTCGCGCCGTGTTTGACAGAATCGCACACGCAGCAGCATCTGATTCCGCCAATGCGGCCGGCGCGACTGACGATGCCGCGAAGGGTGACCCTTTTGAGACGCTAGTGAAGGAAATTGTTTCCGCAAAAGACGGAAAGATTGCTCTCTATGGAGTCGGACGGTAAGCCCTCGCTCACTCGGACTCCCTATATCTCCACTCTTCAATCAATTTAAAACCGCCTGTTTCTCATAGGCTCCTGTTTTTTACCACACATACATGAATGCGACAAAGGCTGGCACATTGACAAAGGTATCATTCCCAATCTTTCTTTTTTTCGCTCTCCCCCCCTCCCCCTCCCTCCCTTTCCCCCCCCCACACCCACCTCTCTCTCTTTCCGCCGGAGCAGAAGGGTCTCATCATGCAAGCCCTAGCGATGCGCCTGTACCACCTAACAGAAGCTAGCACATTGTCTAAGTATCATTCTACATCTCTCACTCTGCCCACACCCGCCTCCTCCCTCTTTCCCTCCCGAACAGAGAGGGTCTCATGATGCGAGCTCTGGCCATGCGTCTGTACCACCTAGGCTTGCAGGCATCCGTCGTGGGTGACATGTCCTGCCCTCCCATTGGTCCAGGAGATCTCCTCCTTGTCAGCGCCGGCCCTGGCCGCTTTTCCACTGTAGAGGCTCTTCTGAGGGAGGCTAGATCTGCAGGGGCCAGGACTGCAGTCATCACTGCACAGCCGTCGGGCGATTGTGCCAGGCTGGCAGATCGTGTGGTCTACATTCCTGCACAGACAATGGCAGATGATCTCGTTTCTGGTGAAGGAAGGGATAGGGTTGAGATTGAGGACGACGGGGTGCTACCCATGGGGAGTGTTTATGAGGGAGTGTTATTTGTTTTGGGCGAAGTGGTAGTGCGTCTCTTGCGGGATAATCTGGGCGAAACTAAAGAGTCCATGCGTGTACGGCATACCAATTTGGAGTGAAGTTCACAACGCCTTTTCCGTCTAGGGTTTAGTATTAGAAGCCTCGATATCTCTATCACCACGGGAATGAATTTCTGGTCCCCTAATGTGCTTTGAACCATCACCCCACTTTTCACTGATTCCAGAAGCAGTATTTTACTGCGAAACACTAGTTCATGCTCAACCTCCGTCATAATCGTCTGTCGTTGCCGCTGCTTCGCGTCAAGTGGAATATTCTGCAGCGAATAAGAGCACGCGCGATTGGATACGCAGTCGATTGAAGCCGGGCTGGTTGTGAGCCCACGCTAACCCACGAAAAGCTACTGGGGAGCCGACTGGGCTTTCAAGGGAACGAACTTGCAGCTGATCATAAGACAAAAGCAAAGTTACGACTTTTCTGCCGATCGCGGTTAAGTGATGATTTGAATTCTCCTAGCCTTCTAGCTTGCGAAGTCGCATTGTCATTGAGCCGGATTCAGCCTGTCAGCACCAGCACCCATTCTCAATTCGTGAATTCGTGAATCTTTGTCTCCACATAGCGGACAGAGCAACACCAGCTGCCATGTTAGCACCAGTAACCACCCCAACGGCAGCAG